AGATTGTAAACTGCTAGTTGTATTCATATGCAGATTGTAAACTGCTAGTTGTATTCGTATGCAGATTGTAAACTGCTATGGTTGTATTCAGATGCAGATTGTAAACTGCTATGGTTGTATTCATATGCAGATTGTAAACTGCTATGGTTGTATTCATATGCAGATTGTAAACTGCTATGGTTGTATTCATATGCAGATTGTAAACTGCTATGGTTGTATACATATGCAGATTGTAAACTGTTATGGTTGTATTCATATGCAGATTGTAAACTGCTATGGTTGTATTCATATGCAGATTGTAAACTGCTAGTTGTATTCATATGCAAATTGTAAACTGCTCGTTGTATTCATATGCAGATTGTAAAGTGCTAGTTGTATTCATATGCAGATTGTAAAGTGCTAGTTGTATTCATATGCAGATTGTAAACTGCTAGTTGTATTCGTATGCAGATTGTAAACTGCTATGGTTGTATTCATATGCAGATTGTAAACTGCTATGGTTGTATTCATATGCAGATTGTAAAACACAGGTCATATTTATATGCAGATTGTAACCCTGTACAATTGTATTCATATTCAGATTGTAAAGTGCTGCAGTTGTATTCATATAATAATAATAATCTATTACTTTACCCATAATTGTTACACATACAGATACTTACAAACACTGTTGTAATGAAAGGAAACCTGAAATAGCTACAGAGCTAATCGAGTCAGATTCCTGATTCATATTCAGATTGTAACCCAGTACAGTATACATACAATGTATGCAGATTGTAAACCAAACCACAGCACATTTAATAATTTCTTTTGTGTGCAAATCTGGCAAATAGATTCACGGTGAACTGTTTTACCTTTCTTTGTTTTGTGATGGTCTCTATGATGAATGCAGTGGTTTTAAAAATCCTTTTCTCATCAGTATTGTTCCTGTATCAATTATTGTTATCAATTCACTTCAAAGTGTCCAATCACTTAAATCATATTACTGTTTTTTATATCTATTTATATAGCTGAAATGGCATATATACATTGTATTTGTGTAAGTAATAAATATTAGATGTTGACTGAGTGCTTTAAAATTACTTGTGTATACAAATATACCATAAGAATGATTTGGTGTTGACCTGGTATATGCAAGTGCAAACCTGGATTGTGCCTAGTATATAAAATTACACCACTAGGAGTGTGCCTGGTATTAGAAAGTGCATCTGCTATTTGAAACACGCCACTGGAGTGCATCTGTTATATGCAAATGCAACATCCCATCTTCACATGGAACAAGAGCTGGGGATTACAACCTTTCATCAAATTGAACCAAAGATTACCACCACGTCCTTTACATAGTACTAGAGATAACTGCCCATCTGTCTAATGGAATCAATGATTACTACACTTTCCTACGTGCAAATAGATTTCTACCTTTCCTCCACATGGAACTAAAGATTACTTCTTCATCCTTCATAACCTTGATAACTAGAAATTACCCACTTCTTCACATGTGATGAGAGATTACCTCATCTTTCTGCACAAGAAACTAAATATTATCTTGTCTTCCATCCTGTGGAACTAGAGATTACCACTTCTTACTCCATGTAAAACTAGAGATTACCCGTTCTTCACTACTTCATACTCCATGTGGAACTGCAGATCAACTACCACTTCTTACTA